CAAGATTCAAGTCAGCTCCAATAATGTACATGATAAATATTATGTTTCGTTCGGTGAAAATGTTCATTATGCCTCACAAACCTCCATATTTTTACAATCGTAACGTTGAGCTAGGCACTAGACGGTGGCGCCACGACGACAGAAAGGGGAACTACCCTGCAATTACTGCACCACATTTCGCATATATATCAAAAATTTATTAGAAACGAATCCCTCCATGCACTTTTATTCATTTAGTCATTTATACATTTATTTATAATTCTTGATCTATTTATTTACTTATTTATCTATCTATTTATTTAAGCTATTTTATCAATTCTGGGAAGGGGCGCTGATAGGCCTACCTTTCAACAGAGAATCGTGTCCTCTAATATTGTTATTTTCTTGTGTGGAGGGATATCCAAGAGCATAAAATACATGCAGGATGCTGGGGGCCAATGGCAAAAATACAAAGCTAATGTGCATTACACCCTGTGTAGGCCTATCGCAACAGTCCCCATTCAAATCAATGGGTTCCGTTGTTTTGAAGAGTCGATCATATATTTATGAAGATCTAATTATATTTTCTTTTTGTTTATTTGAAGACGTGGGATAGTACATTAAATCCATGTTAATCGATGTTTTTATTTTACCCTATTACTGAAAGTTTCAATTCTTTACTTATGTTTGAGACCTGCCCTAGCAAATCAAACGCATTTTAAAAATTGGGGTCATCGGAGAAATAAGCAAACTTAAACGCATTTTTAAAGTAAAATACACCCTGCGTATCGCATTTGTGCCAATTCAAGTGAATGGCAAATAATTTTTTTGCGTATTCGTTATTTTAAAATTATTTATCCGCCATGTTTTTTTTCTCAATGGCGTTACCCCAACTTGCCGGTTGCTATAAGGCAAGTGACGTCAGCCCGACTGTAAGTTTCAAGGCCGTATCCCCCACCAATAGTTCAGCCACTAAGAATTTAATAGTTCTTTACCCCACTGAATACATTTAATGCAAGGCAAGTGCAACGGCTTTCTCACGAAAACAGTTGGTTCACGATGGCGGTTCGATTCTTCGATGTTATTCTAATCGGCTTGGTTTTTGTAGCAAATTCACCACAAACTTACGGTAGGTACCCGGTATGAAATGCCTATTTGTCCGTTAAAACAGATTCATGTTACTATACCGGTGTCACATGATGCACACGATAGAATCAAATCAAATGTCATCAAACAGTGTAATTGAAAATTGGTTTCGGAAAAGAAGAATGGAGAACCTCAGGTATTAGTATTATTTTCTTTTATGCGTGTACCGTGTGAGTCTGATAGTTAGACATAGGTTAGTGGGTTTTTAACAGCGTGTGTACATGTACATGTATCGGTAACGAAACAGACTGATCCTAACATGTAATAACATTACTGGAGGGGGGGAGGCTTACTCACTTTCACGGGTTCGATTGGAGCAATCAAAATTAATCCGGTAAACTGGCTGTGGAAATAAGGGGCAATAGTAAGCTCAGCACTTAAGTTATATTCATGGGCACATTTGGGACAAGTAAGCCAAATTTTAGTTATTCTGTAAACAAATTATTTCACGTGTACTGTATGTAAAAGAAGCATGTACTCAACGTACTTCCTTCTTGAGAGTTAAACACTTTTCCTTTGTGGCTATTGAGCCTTCAATCTCCCTTTGTATTTCGATACAGGTAGTTCAACGTACGTTGCTTAACTGCACTACCCTTACCCATCTAACTGGTAGACAAACATCTGGCGTGTGGAACAAGATTATTATCACTATTTAATATGATAATTTAAGAAATCTAATATCTTTTAATTTCAGAGATGGCTCTCATCAGAATTGAAAACTTACATGTAGACGAATTTGGTTGCGGTAATGTGCCAGACTTGTCATTAGTAGTATCTGACTCTACCCTTATCCACTATCTCTCTCTCTCTCTTTCTCTCTCTCTCTCTCTCTCTCTCTCTCTCTCTCTGACACACCTACACACGCACATTGGTTGTACGAAATAATTTAAAATCTGCCTTATGTTGCAGATTTCTATTTGGGATATACTCTGTCATCCGATGGGGACTATCTTTATCCGATCAGGTAACCAATGGATAAAATTATAGAAGATATTCGTAGAGCACAGAACAAATATCAATTTTCAAAGTGAATATAACTAGAAAAAAATGTGTTTATAGTGCATGGAATAAAAATGTCCATAATAATGGCAAAATACAATGTACGTTCTTTCGATGTAAAAAGTCAAAATTCAAAAGTTTGTTTTTTTATTCAACAGGGAAGAGAACTTCGAAGAATACATACGTCTTGCCAGAATCGTGCCTGAAATGAAGGTTTATTCCTGCTTGTGCTGTCCCATGGACAGGCTTAGTAGTTGCCGTATTTGCGTGGACCATTAAAACTGCATGGGTCTTATTCAACAAGATTGGGCAGATGTCTACTCCACACACACTTAATGTATAAAGCATATAAACTGTTTTTTAAGACCGAATGGAGCAATTTGTTGGAGGAAACATATAACTTATTGTGGGCGAAATTCTGACAACCAAGTCCAAATATTTTACTAAATCATGTTTACATGACATTCGGCAGCTGAGAGTTGATGGTGGCCCGTAAATATGGCAATTAAAAAACGAAAAAAAAAAAAAACTAAAGGTGCTGTAACACGAATTTAAATAAATGTTTATAAATTTGATTTCAATAAGTTCTACGTATCAAGTAACTCTAGTATAAGAATGCTTGATTTCAGTGGCCATAACAATATCCGTAACAATAATTTCTTTATTCGCGTTGCGCTCTCACGTGTTTATACCGGCGAGAGATTTTGGAAACGTGAGTCGCTGCTTTCTATGGTTATGTTGGAGGCGTGCAGCGAGGATTTGACATCGTCACGTTTATGTATAAATAGCAGTGGACATGCACACTCACGAGAACGATGGCAATTATTTCTAGAACTCATCCATGCACCCCGCCTGTTAGCTACAGAGGAAAATTTCGACAGCCCGTGATGACAGTGCAATTCTGTGGATTGTTTCTCTGCGCCTTGCTTACTTCAGCGCTGCCATCACAAGCTGGGTCACCTATTGGTTAGTAGTCAGTGCTAACAGTCATTTGACAATAAAATCGATGATACAGATATCACGCAAAAAGTAAAAGCTACCTCAATTGTCTCGTATTTTAAACTGTCTTTCAGCGTAAAAAAGATTATTATGATTACCTCTAGTAATATTATAATTACCTTAAGTATCTTCTCCTGGTTATTAAGGGGCGAAAAAGAAATAGGGTGCTTCACCTGCTTTATTTCAGACAAATTGATGCCGCCTGAGGTTGCAAAATCAGAAATACATGTAACCATAATCAAGCATTTACACGGCAATTGTCAAGCTGGAACAGCCCTTGGCTTATATTTGGGATATACTCTGCCATCCTCTGGGGACTATCTTCATCCGATCAGGTAACCAATAAATAAGATTATGAAAGGCATTTGCAGAACACACAACGAAGGGTTAGTGCCACTTTTCGAAGAGAATACAGCACCACGAAGTAGCTTTTTCATAGAACTCAAAATGGACATTTTCATGTTGAAATAAAATTCGACCTAAAAAGCCAAAATTTAAAAGCTTGTGTTTTTTTTTTTTTTTTTTTTTTGTTTCACAGGGAAGAGACGTTCGAACAAACCATACGTCTTGCCCAACTCGTACCTGAAATGAAGGTTTACTCCTGCGAGTGCTGTCCCGAGGAAAAGGCAAGGATAAACGTAAGGGATTGCGATCTTTGCGTAGAGCAATAAAACTGCATGGGTCTTATTTAACAAGGTCGGACAGATGTCTACTCCACACACGCCGTATAACGTTTAAAACTCGCATATAAAGCGTTTTATTTTCAAAGATCAAATGTAGCAAAATTTTGGAGGAGTTAAAGGCACTGTAACATGATTTTAAACAAGTGTTACAAACATGATTTCAAAAAGTCATGCGTTTAACGTACGGTATTGTAAGAATGCGTAACTTCAAAAGAAAGAAATTCAGTCCAGGACATTACCTTAAATGTTTGGCTCAAGTAAGCTAATTACCCCCGGTATAAATTCCCCATCCAAAAAAAGTGTGTCACCCCTACCGCATTTGTGGACATTAATTTGTTACAAGGGTACCTATAGATTAATTTTACTATTACATAGCAACTAGGCAACCGTTTATCGTGTAAGTTGGGAACGTGAGATGTAGAACATTGACTTACCTATATTTTAGTGGGACCATTGAAATACCCTAACACTAATTATATTTTCGATATGCGGCTACTAAGCGAGATGGATACATTTTCTCCAAGCGACTGACATAAGAGGGTTTTTGATATCCTCCAATATGGAAAACTGAAGGATAACCCTGCAAACAAATGGAAACAATACTGCATGTACCGTTGCACCTTTGTGGGACGCCATCACTTCGCAAACGTTACAAATTTTTTTGACTCCAGACACAGACGCGTCAGCAGCATTCTTCAATCTAGAGGATACTGTACGAAATATGTCGCTTTAATTATTTTACTATTGTTAGCCTTATAATTGGTTGTACAATCGGTAAAGATTGGTGGAAAATGTTTTAGAAGTTGAATGTAAAAACAAAAACACTGGTTAACGACACGGTTTTCTGTATCACTTACGCATTGCATTAGGGGTGACACTTTTTGGTAGGGGAGTACACATGTACCGGTATATGATCAAGAATCCTTGATACGATTCACAATCAATTATTGACATCAGTTTGGAGAATTAGAGTATTCTTTTGAGGTAACAGTTAGTCAATGTCATTTTTGTGTTGCGTCGTAATGGTAAAAATAAACAGAGCCATAAGGTGTGAATACACAAAGAAAGCAACTATTAGTTTCACTGCGTAATACGTGTTGCAGAAATCTCTCTCTCTCTCTCTCTCTCTCTCTCTCTCTCTCTCTCTCTGTGTGTGTGTGTGTGTGTGTGTGTGTGTGTAGATTATGTGCCTTTGTCTATTTAGAATCTATGAACAATCAAAATATTGCATGTACAAAATTTATTTTTCTAACAAAATCTAACATGATGTTAATCAGAAGAATTGTGAGGATACCGTTCCATTGAAATTCCAATTTCAAGAGTAACATACTCATTCTTCGGCAAAACAATACACGTTTAGCCAAAGATTTCAATAATACTTGCAGAACACTTTCATGGTTCGTTGGCCTTGTTACCGATATTCTCACGCGATATTTTGGGTGAGAGGGCAACTTAACCAGACCATGCAATTTTTACATATAATTCATTGATACTAACATTATCAGAGTGCTGAAGTGGGTGCGTGTAGTTGCCTACTTAAACGGTGTATACACTGTATATGCTAGCATTATATTCCTGGCTGCATACCTCAATAGCTGGACGCGGTTTTGGCAACTAGCAAACGTACAGACCCCGCCATCCATCTCCTTGACTTATAGAGGTGTCTCTAGAGGCTTTCCTTTATCATCAGCATGTTTCTGTCGTTCCAGGCCCGTAGCCAGCAATTTCAAAAGGGGGGGTTCTTTTTCTGAAAAAGTGGATCTTTTCCCATAAAAACTTCATGTACCTAGAACAAATTTTATCCAGAGTGGACCTTTTCCCGGCAAAAGGGGCGGTTCTTTCGAACCCCCCGAACCCCCCCTGGCTACGGGCCTGCACGGTTCAGTAGCTAGAATGTTGTTTTCAGTGACCTTTGACACTCCGTGTGACCACTATTCAAAGTCAATACTGTTTTAAAGTGCACTTGCACAAGAATTTTTCTTCTGTAAAAACGCTGTGGGAAACTTACAACTATCATTAGTGCATCCCTCCACGCCACGCCCCACCTGCTTTGATTGCTTATTACACGGACCTCGACGCCTCGGGTGACAAATAAGTGTCAGGCATCCACCATAAGCCTTGACTCTTGTCATAATAATATACTTTATGTACTAATACTATATGTAATTTGCTGGATCCCGGAAGCTTTACGTTTTAATACCGGTGAGACATTTTGGAAACCTCAGTCGTTACTATCCGGTTATGTTGAAGGCGTGCAGCGAGGATTCCACATTTGCACGTTTATCTATAAATACCACTGAGCATGCATAAACCCGGAAACGATTATAATTATTTCTTAAACACAGCCGTGCACAACACCTGTTAGTTACACAGGAAACTTTCTGCCATCTTCGCAATGACTCCGGGATGCAAACGATTCAAAACTGCGCCAAGATGGTTGGTGGGAGATATCAGATTTGATTACGTTTGGGGGCATTTACTCATGTCAAGAAATCAAGAAATATTTCTTGCTCTCAGATAAGTTAAACAGGAAGTTGCTTGTGCACCGAACGTGTACGTGTTTGAATTCTCACTCTTTGTCAGATACATATACACGTGGAAATTGGCTTGCTTTGTTTGATTTACAGTAGTTGTCAGTCAAAATAATCTGCTGACAGTGATCAGCATTTTATTTATTTATTTATTTTATCTTTTTTGTCGCACACAGTGCATGTAATTTTCCACTGCCCCCGTCGAAACTTTTACAATTTACAATGTCAGTCAAGGGAAGGCAAGTAAACGTGAATGTCACCCTCTCCCCCCCCCCCTCCCCGCTTTGGTCCCGCGGTTACCTTAATCTCATCTCCAGAAAGTATAAACGACACAAAACAAAAAGGGTATTCAATTCCTTGGCCATGAAAATTCAAGTAGAATTGTCCTCATCTACTATTTGCCGAGAAAAAATATAAATAAATTAATATATAAATAAATAAAATATTCAAAATAGAAAGAAAAGAGAAGAATTATCATCATACCTTCTACTGAGCAAAATTCTGGACCTGCAAAGAGGTGAAGGAAACGGATATCCCATATGGTTAGAAATTCAACGTTTATTCTTATTAAACTACACGTATGTCAAGACGTACATGTACATCGGTATGCCTGTACAGGAGATGTAAGGTAAAATTGAAAAAAATACTCTTCCCCAGACAGTGTTATTGTGTAAACAAGAACAATTTTAGCAAGATTCAAGTCAGCTCCAATAATGTGCATGTTAAATGTGATGTTTCGTTCGGTGAAAATGTTCATTATGCCTTACAAATCTCCATCTTTTTACAATCGTTACGTTCGTTAGCTAGGCACTAGACGGTGGCGCCGCGACGACAGAAAGGGGAACTACCCTGCAATTACTGCAACACATTTCGCATATACAACATGAAAATTCAAGTAGAATTGTCCTCATCTACTATTTGCCGAGAAAAAATATAAATAAATTAATATATAAATAAATAAAATATTCAAAATAGAAAGAAAAGAGAAGAATTATCATCATACCTTCTAGTGAGCAAAATTCTGGACCTGCAAAGAGGTGAAGGAAACGGATATCCCATATGGTTAGAAATTCAACGTTTATTCTTATTAAACTACACGTATGTCAAGACGTACATGTACATCGGTATGCCTGTACAGGAGATGTAAGGTAAAATTGAAAAAAATACTCTTCCCCAGACAGTGTTATTGTGTAAACAAGAACAATTTTAGCAAGATTCAAGTCAGCTCCAATAATGTGCATGTTAAATGTGATGTTTCGTTCGGTGAAAATGTTCATTATGCCTTACAAATCTCCATCTTTTTACAATCGTTACGTTCGTTAGCTAGGCACTAGACGGTGGCGCTGCGACGACAGAAAGGGGAACTACCCTGCAATTACTGCACCACATTTCGCATATACAGCATTGGTCAAAAAGGTTGTCCCACCCCCATTTCCATGTTCTTATATTTACAAATGATCACCTCGCAAGTGTAAATTGTTATAAACGGTGCTTTTTATTCTAGATACCTTTTTCAACATGATAAATGGTTCAGAAAATACAAAATAGTGGCAAAAATATGCACATTTTATACCGTTTAGTAAAATTTATAACAGGTGCCCCCTCAAATCCAATGTTTCACTGTAATTTCCATAGATGTTAAGAAATGTCTATTAAATTAAGAAGACGCCATCTAATGTCACCAAATTTACACACAATTAGCATTAGGATGTGCTCGTTAAAGGTCGCGTGACTAATAGCGTGTGCGTCTACCGGGTACTGCAATTATCTCCTGTAGATGGCGCTACAAGCCTTCAACAAGGGCAATAATTCTGTTTTGTGAAGATTGTCTCATTTATCCTAAAGGGCGTGGCGGAATTGGTCCAGATTATTTGGGAATTGGTTCGCCTCTGCAATGCACATTCAAATTAATGCTCAGGTAACATCCATGAAGTCACCTCTTGCAAATGGAGTGAGCTATCTGTTGAGAATTTTACAGTAAAAATGCCCCCGTTACGTTTTGTTCCAGAAGGAACAATGTACTAATACCATGGGCTTAGATTGTTCTCAAAATACGGACTGATCTAACACCTTAGGCAATATTATGCTGCACACACCCTTCAACGAGGCATTTTTCAACATGTTTACGGACCCACATTTGATCATTGATGGGATACAAGAAATAACTTCATTCAGCAGCAAAACCGACTTCTTCCAGTGATGGATGGCNTTTTTTTGTCGCACACAGTGCATGTAATTTTCCGCTGCCCCCATCGAAACTTTTACAATTTAGTATGTCAGTCAAGGGAAGGCTCAGCAGGCAAGTAAACGTGAATGTCACCCTCTACCCGCCCCCCTCCCCGCTTTGGTCCAGCGGTTACCTTACTCCAACCTCCAGAAAGTATAAACGGCACAAAACAAAAAAGGGTTTTCAATTCCTTGGCCTTGAAAATTCAAGTAGAATTGTCCTCATCTACTATTTGCCGAGAAAAAATATAAATAAATTAATATATAAATAAATAAGATATTCAAAATAGAAAGAAAAGAGAAGAATTATCATCATACCTTCTAGTGAGCAAAATTCTGGACCTGCAAAGAGGTGTAGGAAACGGATATCCCATATGGTTAGAAATTCAACGTTTATTCTTATTAAACTACACGTATGTCAAGA